GGCCCCCCCCACCCTCCCCGCTGCCATTGCATGGCCCAGCGCCCCCCCCATCCTCCATTTTGGGGCCCGGCCCATTCCCCCTCGCCCTTCCCACCTCTGTTTCAGGGCCGGGCCAGGCTCCCTCACCTCCGCCGCACTGGCCTGGGTCTGCTGCTCCCCCCCCACATTAGGAGGGAGCAGCACAGGACAGAGAGGAGGCGAGGCCAGTGGTGCTACCTCAAAGGAGCAAGGAGGGTGCTCTGCTGGCCTTGCCCTCCCATTCTGTCTGCTCCGTTGCTGTCACCTCCAGGGACCAGGGCTGGCATTGCCCGCCCCTGCTCCATCCCCTGTGTCCCCACCATCATGGTGGCACTTCTCTGTGCCACCACCTCCTGTTTGAATGCTGTTCACACTCTGATGGGTTGTTTCTGTCAGCCAGTCAGAGCACAAATAAAGCGTTATGGACAGACAGACAGACCGACTAAGGCTTTTATAATATTAGAATTATGGGATCATTCTGATTATTGTCTTCTGGAAAGCAGGGTAGACTTGCAGCTTATAGATTAACTAAATCAGAAGCTTTCATAAGCAACAGCTTACTTAATCAGACGCTGTGATCAGCCGCTTACAAAAACTTATACATCTCTGATTTAGTTAATCTGCTGTGTGCATATCTACCCTGCCTCTTGCCCAGAGCAGGCTTTAGGGAAAACGGCACCCTGGCTGAGCTTGTATTTTGGTGTCCCATCTCCCTTGCCACCTCTCCCCACCTCCCCCCCACATGGGCAGAGGCAGGCAGGCAGAAGCGCTGGATTCAGTCCAGCAAGGAGGTGGAGCAGCATGGTGTGCCAGACTCTGGATCTGTGGTTACTCTCAGGCAGTGATTGTCAGTCAGGGTGCGGTGGAACCAGAGGCTGCCCTGGGATCCTTTCAAACCTACCAACCATTTCTGCCTTTGTGCTCTAGCACAGCGTTTCTCTTAAGTGGGTCACAAGAATATACGAAAGGTTTATGAATAAATTTGAAAAATGGAGCATATTTTACATACATTTTTGAAAAAAATAGATGCTATTGGTGCTTTATCATATGTTAATTCTGGGTTAATAAACAGGGATCTGGGTTTTCCATTTGCTGCAGAAGAAAGCAGCAGTGGTGGCTGGCTCATGGCAGTGGGGTACAGCCAAAGCCCAGTGCACAAATGGCTGGTGGCAGGAGAAGATGAGGGCAGTGCCCACCACATTACTCCTTGTGTTCCTAGTGGCATGGCTGGCGTGGTAGTCCCATCAGCAGAGGTGGCAGCAACAAATCTTGCCGCCCTACTCTGCTCTCCCGCATTGGGACCTGCCTGCTGGGCCCTGGAGGCTGCTCCTGCCCATGGCAGTCTGGCCAGGCTGTAGCCCGTGCCTGCTGTGGGTGCACAAATCTGGGAATGGCACATGGCTGCCAGGCCCCCCTTGCCCAACACACTGGGAGGCTGTGTCCTGGGGTGGGGCAGCAGGTCAGGAGTGAGATGCGCGAGCAGGACTGGTCCAGTTGTTATGGTCATCCACGGCGGTAGCAGGACTGGAGTGATGGGCACCAGCAGGGCTGGGGGTCGGGGCCTGTGGTAGGGTTGCCAGCTCGTTTGAATCTATTCGGGGAGATTTCATCACATGATGTAATGACATTAATGACTTTATGTCAGGAAGGCAAATGCACTTTACCATTACATTTTAAAAACCATTACATTTTAAAAACCTGTGGGTTGGGAGCGACGCGCAACGGCAGGGCCGGGGTGGGGGTCTGTGGGTTGGCAGTGATGGGCACCGGCAGGGCTGGGGTGGGGGTCTGTGGGTTGGGGGCGACGGGCACCGGCAGGGCCAGGGTGGGAGTCTGTGGGTCGGGAGTGAC